ATACCAATTTCATATTGCCAAATATCTCAAAAGAGGACATTGTAGAGCTGTCATTTTAATAGCGCGCTACATTGTCTGATTTTAGCGCCAGCGTGGTATATCGGCCCATGCCTGGCGGGCGCGCGGGCGGCGTCCTCACAGACGGCGGTGACGTTGAGGCCGCGCGTGAAATGAAGCTCTCGGCCGCCTCTCCGGTAGTGCACCTGGCACGTGTACAGCCCCTGGTAGTGGTCCACCATGTAGTGAACCTGAAGACCGGCGCCGAACTGCTCGCGGTCGCTCGTCCAGCGGTCAGACCGCGAGCACGCCTGACATACGCACGCACGCACAAAGACGCACACCCAAAATACAGACACACACACAAGCAGAGACACACGCATCAACAGAAAGACACTGCGAAAAGAAAGAGAGATGTTTGACCTGCGGCCGTTTCCCGTGATCGCCGGCCGAGGCGAAGCGACGGGTCCTCACGTGGTACCAGGTGACGGCGGGCGCGGCGTCGGCCATGTCGGCGGCCTCTCGCCAGTCGGGGCACTCTAGAATCTGGTCGCCCTGCAAGGCGATGACGACCTGACCGGGCGCCACGGCGAGCGGCCGCTCGCATTTCGAGTCCCCCGGCGCCACCTGCGGCCGGCGGACGACCATCACGCGCACCCACGTCTCTATGCCGGCCGACCGGTCCCTGGAGGAGGCGCCGAATGGCCGTTGCAACAGAGCGTAGGGGGATGACGTGTGTTGATGTGTTTGTGTGTTTTTATTGTCAGTGTGTGGGTGTGTGCATGCGTGCGTGCCAAATAGGTGGTGGCGCTTCTCACCGTGGCAGGCAGGCGTAGCAGCCCGAGTCGTCGGCCACCGCCGGCTGAAAGCACAACCTGTCGTACTCTTTGCTCAGACGCCCACTGCGGCAAAACAACACCAGCGCGTTAGCGCAACACAATCGCAGTCCCATTCCGCTGCGACAACGCAATCGCCAGACACATATCATCGACACAATTACATCTCAATACACCCCCGCCTCCCCCAAAAAATCCCAAGCAAACTAGG